CAATACCCTGTGACTGCAGTTCAATTACTCACTGTCTACACACATTACATTCCCGTTCCCGTCACATTGTCACCCTCTTTTATATACCAGTCCACCCTCTATCTAGTAAATACTAGAGCATTCGCCAAAGTACAGGATAGTTCTAGAAAGTAGAGGGCGCCACACCAGTCACGTGACCTCGATAACGCAACAACTATTTACATAAAACACTAACCTACTGCCACAATACAAGAATAATATTTAAACGTCAAAACACTATTTACATAAAATAGTTACCTACTGGCATAATACAAGAGTAATATTTAAACGTCAAAACACTATTTACATAAAACACTAACCTTCTAGGCCTATTCCATCTTCTAACTGCTTAATCAAGAACTTCAGAGGATCATCTGGCTTCTCAATGACAATCTTCTCCAAGAGATTCTTCAAATTCAAAAAATAACGCATCGAGAATCAATTTCAAGCATTTGAAATAAAGTACTGTGTTTGTGTAATTTTTAAATAATTAACAGCAAATACTTTCCAAACGATTACATCTATTTCTTTACCAATGTAATTGGAATCGAGTGAAGTGGTGCCATTGATGGTAAACTTTTATCTATATCTGCATACAGCACGCGTGTTCAAAAATAGAATATGTTTCTTGAATTCTTATCCAATACATATTTTTTCAGAGAGAAGAAAAAAGGTAAACTCTAACATAATTTTTTATTTTTACCTGAACATACTTATAGAAAATAAAAAATAACGTAAAACATTTTTTCTTTAATATTCGTACATAAATAAGCTTTAAATAGAATCAGGCCTAACTCGACAAGCGTTAAAATGCCTTGTCTGCAAATTTAGACTATGTGTCGTAAATATCAGTATTTATAAATTTGGTTTCAGGAATCATACATTCAAAACTGTAACCGCAAGTTCTTTGTAAGGAACATGTGATAATTTATATTTACTCAGTTTATAACCGAAATTTGTTTTATGAAACACTTACACAAGTGTTACGGTATTTTAACTAAATCTAATAAAAATGGTTTCTGAATCTAGTCTAATCAAAGAATTATTGTTGCAACTGATAATGATTAATAACCTGAATGCCTAACTAATCCCTCTTCCTGTATTTTTTAAATTAAAATAGAAATGTTTACCGTAGTTATGTTGCACATCAGATAACTAATATTCTCAAATTATTTACATTTATTCATATACTTTTGGCCTACACGATAACATAACGCCAATAGAAATTGCTTATAGTAACACCTTAGGCCTACAGTTTTATTAAAATAAACTCAGTCTCAAGCCTAATTTAACCTACATTATATAAAAACCCAGGGTAACACAGCTTTTAATATATCTTGTTTAATATATTAAAATCTGAATATACACTACACTTTTCAAATGAATTTCCATCATATTCTTAAATTCCAAACCTGAAACAATTCAAATATTTCATGTTTTTCGGCATATAAACAGAACTCGGGAAGGATTCGAAATGGGCGTTGCAAAGCATCCATAATCAAATAGATCAGGGCCGTACTTATAAACTCTGTGCGTTTGTTGTAAATTTTCTTAATATCGATAGAATATTTTGTTTCTGTATTTAAGATGTGAAACTAGATTTAATGATACGTGGACCATTTCTTTTCTGTACCTTAAAACGTATTTATACATTTTACGTTTCGGGGCTCTCGCTATTTATCTTTGCTGTAACAAGTCACAAGAAACGAGAACTATTCTGGTTTTATGCATCCAGTGATAAAGGACTTCTTATCCCCACCCATCAACCCCCCCTTCAAGAAATGTAAATATATGTTTTCCAAGTGGTAAGTAGTAAACATATGTCGCTGTATGTTTCGCTCTATGCTCTTTTTCATGATGCTTTTCTCTTTCATGATATTTATTATGTTAGGTTAATAAGTTCGCCCAATGTATCTCATTGAATTAAATTGCTCCTGATCTCATGATTGAGGTTATTTGTGTTTAGCACACCTCCACTAAGGATATATAAGCCACATACAATCTTAAAATCAATTTTTGAACTTTACACTAGAACCATTGCACAGCCTTTAGTCTTTTTTTTTTTTTTTTTTGTTTAGATATATCTTTTTTTTCTTCACTTTTTATTCTATTTGGTGTTAATTTGTATTTTTTTCTTATTCACCACCATGAATTTTATGATCACATTGACACTATTTTGTTACAGTCGTACTATTCTCACTTTCTCTTCTTATGTCTATTAACTTTATTTAGGTTGTACTTATTCCTATCAGGAATTGACTCATGCCACTGTAAACGTAACAAATTGCTGTTTATGAGTTTACTATAGCCCTCCAGTGGCACAGCGGTAGTTTGCGGACTTACAAGTGATGGGCAGAACACAGAGAAACCATTCTATGTTTAACTACAAAAAAACAGGATAGTTTACTGCAATCAATAATGCAGATTTAGATTTTTTCCCCTCATTGGTAGCATATTACTTTCTTTCTTCGCCTTTTTCGTTTTATTCGTTCTCAATCAAACCTCTTAATCTTCTTTTTCTCTTCGTTGATCTCTTGTCTTTTGTATTCCTTTCTCAAACCCACACTGAACAAGTCTCTTTCTTTCCTTTCACACCTGTTTTCTCCGTATATCGGATTACAATGTCTCATAATTATTGGAGGTCTCGTAATCTCCGCACTGGCTGAAAAAGAAAGATTTTTTTAGATGAAAAAACCCGATCAACTTATATATCAAAACATTTAGTAAAAGAAATAGTCTCCATTCTTATTGATAATGCTTTTCCATCTTACAATCAGTTTGTTAATGCCCTGACTAAAGAAATCATTAGGCTTTGAAGCAAATAACATTTCGGTGTCCTCTTTAACACCTTCCACATTTGCATACATTTTCCCATTAAGATGATGCTGCAGCGAATGAAAAAGATGGTC